AAATTGCTTCTTGAGTTTATCTCCGACAAACATAGATCTTTTCTTTTTTTGACGTGAACGTGGTCTAAATGAAAATTCTTAGAGGCTAGTTTAATTTTAAAAATGCATGAGCTCCAAGAGCTCAAAACAAATTTGTAAAAGTATGTTCCATGAAATGATTTTTGTTTCTCAAATTTCCTCAAAGGTTTATTATCAACTGATATATAATTTCATTCTAACACGATTCGTAAAGAATTTTCGAGCTTAATCATTAACCCTGGGACTCCCATGAATGACTTGGGCAGAATTTCTCCTCGCAATATCAATTCAACATCAAGCGATTAAGTGACTAGAATAAAGAAAAATCTATTAGAGGATTATCAATTGTTTCAATACCAAATTCTCAGAACTTACATCATAAGAATTATGTGGCAGACAGTAAGGAGAAACTACTAATGAGATATTAGGAGGGAAAGAGTTAAAGATGTTTGAGCTCTTGAGCTAGGACACAACTAACCTGTGAACAGGCCTTTGGTCGAGCGGGGAACTGGGGAGAGGAAATAGAGAAAAGACCTCTCTCCCCTAGCTTTCCCCAATTCCCCAACAGAAAGCCTGTTCACTGGCTAGGATACAACCAAATTGTACTGTATGCCCAAATTGCCGCCTCTAGAGTTTTTCATCAACTGCAAAGTACAATACGTCTTTTTAAATGAAACTTGATAAAATTCTTAAAGCCTAATTTTTTAACTTCTAAACGGTCTTTGAGGCTGAAATTAATAAAAAAAAAAAATCCGCTCAAAAATTGATTTTCGTTCGTGATTCGATAAGAATCTTGGAGCCTCAATTATCAGCGATGTCTCAGTTCTTGAGACAAAAAACCAGTTGTAGTGTGCTTCAAAACTTGATGTTTATATCTCATTGCTTCTAAGATAATCGTTTATCAGCAACTGATCGATATGTTTTTTGAGGTGGATAGGAAAGTTTTAACATTAAAACAATTTTGTATCCGATTAGCTTTGTTGGTTACACTTATTGACCAAAGCACAAAACCTGTGAAAGTATTTATTTCGTCCCTAATCCAAATCTTGATGACCCAGTATCAAATGGCTTTACTTAACGATGGTAGGACGCCGAAGAAATCTAGTTTTAAGTTGACTGATTCAAAGATGTTCACTGGGAATCAATTTATGCAAGAAATAGCTTGATTTCATAACTTTTGCCAGAACTATAATTTCAAAAGTACATTCTTTTAAAGGATTAATTTGCAGCTTTCCATTGTCGAAAAAACGCCGTTCAGCCAACTTTTTTTAGTGTTGTTATTCGAATATTTACCGACTCTTATGAATTCTCGCGCACCAGATTTACATTTACATTTACATGCCCTTATTTCCATGCAAGGTCCTATCAGGATTTCTTGTGAACAGGATCTTTCAAAAACATAATGATTTTGTTAATTTTATTGGCGACTTCGTCGAAAATTTAAACCAGTGCACAGTATTTCATTTCAACAGGCACTCTGCGAATGACGAGAGATACGATTTAAGCGAGCAGAAACTAAATTTTGTAGTACTTACATATCGGAATTCCTTCGTGATCTGAGAGGAATTGCTAACGAGCATTTAGATTAACCGATTGTTGATACTTGACTGAAATTTTCGGCTCAAAATGAAATGGTGTGGTGCCTGAAAACAAGCAGTTAGATCCAGGACGTTCACCTTCATTTGTATTGTCATACAGTACTTCGATATTTAAATACAGAACGTTACTCGTCAAACATTTGCAAATACGTGTTCATGCGACAAACCAATATTCCACTATTATCGCTAGAAAAAGCAGGTTTAAATTCTAGAGAATTTGTCAATTTGTTGTTTATTTTTATTTCTTTTCAGACTGACTTAAGTATCTCCCTGATGTCTCACACGAACCAAGCAAGAAAGACTATATTTATTCAGGATCAGGCACAAAACAGGTGTAGCGCATTTCTTACATTAAAACTTCGAGTCGGAACTAAGATTCCAAATGCTTAAGTGGATTTTTTTTATTTGTGTGTCAGTTCAATTCATATTGAAGGCTGCTTGAAGTGGAAAATTTTCCCGCCAAAAAGCTAAAAAAAGTACGGTGCTTATAATACGCCTGCGCCATTTTTTTCTTATTTAATCTGTAAGTAACATCTTTTCAAACGTGGCGAATTTTCCCGCCAAAATACGGCGCTCAAAATACGCCTGCGTCAACTTTTTTTTCTATCTTTCACTTGTAGTCTACATTGGTATTAAACTGATCATTTATTTACTTGTTGTCTCTCCTTGTATTATCTACTACTATTAGTCAATAAAAGTCAGTGATAAGTTGTCATCTTTTATTGTTTTCCAATACTTATACTCAATAAACCGCAAAGTACTTAATTCTCTTTAATTAGGAAGTTCATTAAATTAATTAAAAATGTGTCAAGAAATATTTTTCGTATATATACTAAGACTTTCGGCGGGAAAATTTGCACAAATTTGCCCAAATTTGCACAAATTTGCACAGAGTTTCCCCGGACAACATTTTCGGCATAAATTTCGACAAGGTTTCCCTCAAACTTTCTCGTGCAACAAGAATTGAAATCTAAAGTCAATTTATCCTCTCTTAGAAACAAAATATAACATTCAAAACAATTCCGTTTTGGTTCTTTAAAAAGAAATTCTGACTTCACATGTCTTGTCTCTTAACCCTTTTTTATACTTAAACTCTCTGCACGATATGATGCATGGAAGTTCCCAACGAAAGAGCATCATGGCAAGCTATAGAGTCCAATTAGAATATTAAATTCATGTCCAAAATTGTGATCAATTTGTTTTCAAAATCAATCCTATTTCTGTAAGGCCATAGGTTGCCATGATGTTTTTTCAGAGTAAAAGATCTTCAAAGCCTCCAATTTCGAATGTAACAGAAAAAACAGGATGAAACAAAACTATAAATTATTGGAGCATACTACTTTAATTTGATATTATAGCTACAAGAGCCAGACATATCAGAATTAGGCTCTAAATTTGTCAAACAAACTTCGCTAGGCTTTTGAGAAATTAAATAGAATCAATTCAATTGCTAAACTAAAATTAATATGACGTTGGAGCGAAGTCTTTTAGTTTGATTTTAGCCTTCAAAGCTAAGACGTAATAATTATGCTCCAAGTTTCTAAGTCTGGATTATAGAAGCGATAATTGTTTCAAGAGTTAGATTTAGTCGTCGAACGCGCGTTCAATTTCTATTTTGATTGTAAACCGAATTTGAAGATCAAACTTTTACTCGTCAATTCTTTCTGTATTCCTGTGTTACACCGAGTGACTGCCCAAAGATCTTTCTTCCACTTCCAATAAGGAGCATTTAAACTTGCTACGATATATTTTAAAACCAAATGCCTGGTCCAAATGGTAACAAATGATCATTAATTTCAAAGACTACCCACAAATTTCTTCCTATATAAACCAGCAAAATGACAACAGTTGAGGTAGAGAATCAAAAGCACTAGCATTTCAAAGCCAGGACACAATGAACTCGTTTACTTTCCTTAACCTTTAATTTTAATGTAACTAGCTTGCATTTTTGGTTCGCGCTTCGGTTTTCTTAGAATCAAAGTGCTTTCTGCTCAAATTTCAAGTCTAAAATAAACAAATATGTTTATAATTTCTTAATGTCCATGAAACTCGACATCAGTACGTGAAAGAATTCAACAAGAAAATATGACGACTGTTTCGATTTGGTAAACTATCAAATTCTCTGATTTTGTTTCATTTGCATTTCTGATTCCAACTTTCGTCCTGTGAAATTATTAAAGTGTTTTGACCTGTTGAATTTAAAATTGTGATGAGCAAATAAGAACGTACTTCTCTTGTTTGCGAGAGAGAATTATGATCTTTCGCAACAAAGGATCCTCGCCAATAGACCTTTTATTGTTTACTGGTCAAAAGATTAGCTTGCATATTCACGTTGATTTTCGTCCAATCTGTAAACTATATTGTTCAACGATTGGCGAGACAATTCATGATCTTAATTTCTATTGATTATATTCTTCTCAAAATATAAAAATCTATATTTCCTCGTCGTGAAAAGGAGTCAATTTAAACTGGTTTATTAAGCATTAATTTTCAACTTAAATTGTTTCTCTGGTGAAAGAGCCAGTGACCAGGCATTGGAGTTTTAAAATATAGATCACTTCCTAACGGAAACAAAGTAACTGATATAATTTAAGATGGCACTGTCCTAAACTCTTGCATTGTGTATAAAAATAAATTCTTACCTTTTTCCGTAAAGGATCTTTAATTTCCAGTTAAAAATAATTCATGCCCAGGATGAATTTAATTTCTTTTGTTTTTGGCAAACTTTTTCTCTTAGTATCATTCAGTTGTCAACTGTGAACTACGATCGTCCGGGTGAGTAGTGACTGGCGTGAGCAGAAGTCATCAGAGTCGAGCAAGTGGCTGCCAGACCCAAAGAGCGTTCGTCCGTTGATTACTGTTTTGATCAGTAGATAGAGTTAGATGTTTTTTTTGGTCCGTTGGTGACCACGTAGGTTTTTTTCTAAGTCGTTTGTAAAGTGCCGATAGTTGCTGTAGCAAGCTAATCGTCAAAGTCAGTTCTTAAAGACAGCGTAAGTCGATAGCGTTGAGCAAAGTGATTTTTGACGGAAAGAAACTATGCAAAACTAATCGAACTCGTCAAAACATTTGAATTTTGAATTTTGAATTCCATTGGGTTTTTTTTCCACCCAAATTAATTTGTGAGAGTGCCATCTTAATATCACCTTTGTGCAACATTAACTAGGATAAAACTGTGAAATTCATTGTTACCCAGACAAAAATGAGCGATCCGACCTTCAAAATAGTTTTATATAGTGTCAGCATTTAGTAGCCAGAATTATATCAGTTTCAAGTTGTTTCTGTCTTTGATTCGTTGCAACGAAATTATCTGGGATAAATTGCACGCAAGCAAATGACATAATATTAAAAGAACACGATGTCGTGAGAACAGACAAAAAACAAATGGCGGAGCTTTTTAATAGTTATTTTGTCAACATCGCGGACGGCGTGCCAGAGATTACTGAACAGAGTTATGGAATAGAGTTGGATGCGCATCCTAGCATTCGGGCGATTTTCAACAACAGTGAACAGCTCGCTGTGAGAAACAAATTTGTTTTTCAATATACTAATAAAACCCAAGTGGAAGCTTTGTTACTCAAAATCAACTCCCGCAAATCCTGTGGTCATGACGTAATACCACCGCGACAGGTAAAAGAGTCTGCCAACGCGATTGCTGGTCCTATTACTGCAATAATGAATCACTCGATCAGGACAGGACAGTATCCGTCGCGCTGGAAATTAGGTCAAGTTACTCCTTTATTTAAAAAGGACGATGAACTGAACAAAAAGCAGTTATCGACCAGTGACCGTTCTACCTGCGCTCAATAATGTTTTCGAGTGGCTGCTTTCAGCTCAAATGGGCGACTTTTACCAAAACACATTGTCTGAATACGTATCTGCGTACAGAAGGCACCATAGCTGTGAAACATCTTTGCTAAGGCTGACTGAGGACTGTAAATTTTAGGTACTACTATGTGCCTAGGCTCTAGACTCTGATACTCGAAAAGAGCTCATTTGAAATACTGATAACATTAAGGTGGCCGAACACAGTTTTCGCGCGCGCTTTTGCTGATGCAATTCAGCGCGCGCACAAAGATTGCAAAAAACAAACATTTTGTCAATAGAGTAGTCATTTTATTTACTCAACGCGTATCCCCACTATNAAATTTCCAAAGTCAAGACTGGATATTCAGAAGACTTGTGGTTAGTTCATTGCACTCAGATTTGAGAGGTCTAAATTGCAACCCAAACCAAACCATTGTGGTGTGTTCCTTGGAAAGATCATGTACCTCTGTGTACCTCAAGACTTCAAACAGGTTGCAGAAAACTATCAGAAGGGGTTTACCTGCATGCATCCCATCCAGGGGGGGAATAATAGCACTCATTGGCACTTCTTGCTGTAGAAACAGTTTTAAGTTCTAATGGTGTAAGTTAGTGGGTTCAAGAGCAGACTTGACCTTTCTGTTGATAATTATTATCACAATTCTAAGAGCAATATTCAGTTGATTTTCAAAGAAAATATGAGATTATAATGATCTCACTTCACTTGAATCTTCTTTAATTGATTAGAGAGACCTTATACCACCCACACCCAACCTCCCCTGAGACAAATTCAAAATTACAAAAATAATCAAAATCACAAGGTGGTCCCTAATAGATCGTTCTATTCTAATATTTAAAGAAAGAAAATGTTTCAGGTTTAGTTAAAATGAAAAAAATATATAAATTATACTTTTTTTACATTTAAATGTAGCTTTCTTATGGTAGCACTGGAGGCTTATCGCAACAGACATGATGCACTGAATTTTATGGCCAGTGGAGGTAAGTCTGGAGATTGAAAACTCTCTATTTGGTACATACACAATACTTAGTTTGTAAAATTTGTTTTCTCAGAATAAAAAGTCTTAATTCGATTAAATATGTAATGAAAACATTTTGTCACTTTTAAAGCAGATTGTCAATCAGGTTAATTAATTTGCCTCATGATAATATTTTGCTTTGAACATAACAGCCTCAACAGGTGTTCTACATAACATCTTTTCTGGGAGGCATAAAATGGCTGCTGGGGTAGCATTTGATGGGGATTTAAGGTTGGCAAGTTTTGTTGAAAAGAAAATGAACTGACTGTAGTACTTAACATGATACAGACAATAGAACAAAGTGTTTAGAAAAGTTTTTTTATTATTATTATTTTTGCCTTGACAAAAACTGGGTCATTTACTCTTTCACCCCCAAGAGTGACTAACATCTGATATCTCCTTACACTGTCCCCCCCTGAATCACACATTGAGGTCAGGAGAATAAAGGAAATGATCACCAACTAAAGAAGCTCTTGATTGTTAAACAAATTCTCCTTGTCAGCACCTTAAGAAATGTATGAAGAACAGTATGGAGAATATGCATACTGATATTAGGGTGCAGAGGTTTAAGAATACAACTTATTATATAGCCCCACCCCCATCCTTCCCTTCTTCTCCAAGATGTACATTAATTGAATTAGGATGATTCACGCAAAAAGAGAAGGAACAAAGGCAAAACAATACAACTGTTCAGGGTACTATACAGGGAAAAGCAAAACGAACTTGACCAATATCCAACCATCGTGATCACACGCTTGGTCAACAATACAAAAAGTAGGGAGCCTATAGCGATGCTTGACTGCAGAACTTGGAGTCAATCTCTCATAAATTTAACATTTTAAGCCAACATGCCCCCAGGGTCAATGTAAGAGAGGTTTCTAACCATCAAATTATTCTTCTTATTCTTCTTTTCATGTTGTTTCATCTCACTTTTATTCCCAGCCGTGTCATGATTGTATGGCTGTGGGATACAAGCGCTGTGACAAGTGTTGTGGACGTGGAAGGGTACGTTGACATGCCATGCTAAAATCTTTTGAACCATATTCTTTCTAATGAAGCCGGACGAAGCTATTTGTTTGGTCACGAACGTGGAGGAAACCAAAAACATCCGAGTCCCCGCACAAGGACTCGAAATCTAGATTTTAGATTTTGAAATTCCTTGGGTTTGCGTTCCGGTGACCATCCGAGCTCGAAACCCGAAGATCAGGAAGACCTTGTGAAATGCAAAGGTTTGGAACTCGATTCCTTTTGAAATCCGAAGATCTGGAATTTGATTCGTCGAAAAATCAGATTAGTTGCCCGCTGAACTCATCGTTTATTCGTAAGGAAATGAAGAATTTAAGCAAGAACTACCAGGGGTGAGTTTTTTTCTTTTCTTACCAATAGACTCTTCGTCTGACATAAACATAGCGCGCTGTTCGATTGAGTTTTCAAACCAAAAGCAAAGTAATCATAACAGCCAATCAGATTGAAGGAAATATCACTATCAGCCAATAAGAACCTAAGATAAAAATAACAAATTTGTCTAAAGCGCAGGAAAACGCAAGTGACCAGATTTGTAAATGCAACAGCAAAGTTAGCAAAAGGGAAATATGAGAAAGAGCTTTGGGGAGATTGAAGAACGAGAAAACTACCTGAATCGTGAGCCAATGAGAAATCAGAGTAAAAACAGGAAAACCGCCTAAAGTGCGGGAAAATGCAGACGAACAAGTCGTGACTGGTTTAAGTTTTGCATCCGATTGGTTGAGTAGTACGAGGTTTTTTCTTTTTTTGTACCAATCACAGAGAAGAGTAAAGCAAAATTAATACGATCCTGGATTACTCATGACTTTATCTCTTTCGCCTTCTCGTTCTTACTAAACTACACCCATGTTCTCTGTGATTCTAATTAAGGTGTAGCCCATCAAGACCTTTTTTGACCAGCAAGTAAACATGGGCTCGAAGAGGCTGGTAGACGAACACAGCACCAAGTGGCCTGCCAAGAGCATTCTTATGCAGGTAGATAGATCTTTAATCAGAAAATTTATTAAATCAGGTGTTGCCGAGACTTCAAATCGACATCATTTGTAACTTGTTTACCACAATTTATTCCGAAACTCTGCCAGTTTTTTACAAAGCC